AGGGGAGAGTCCAGGGCTGGGGCAACACGGGGGTGCGGGGGTGGCAAAAAACCTAGAGCTGGCTCTGTCTCTACCATTCACAGCAAGCTACAGAATGAGGTTTCAGTTCCACACTCCTTCCCCCTCCCTTTCCTGTTGCTAGTGGCTAAGGGAATGCTGAGAAATGTAGTTCTTTCCCTGCTCCAGGGCTGGCTCTATAGGCAGGGAGCTAATCAAGGAACTACAGCTCCCAGGGCCCCCTGTTGGTTCTCAGCTCCCATGCTGGATTCTTGTGCCCCTGCAAATTTGCTGCCCCAAGCAACTGCTTGCTTTGCTGGTACCTAGAGTCGGCCCTGGGCCTAATTTATCCTTGTATAAGTGGGGGAAGCACGTTCTAAGCTTGTTTCAGGTGCTTTAATTTTGCCCTCTTTTCATTGCCCTCCTTGTTTTAAAGCCTAGTATGGATGTATTCCAGACCACCTCATGCACCTTCTCTCTTTGCCCTTTATCCCGTAATTGGATTCTTTCCTTCCTCTCCGCTCACGTTGGCCTCCTCTCTGTCCCTGTACATAAGGGGCCTGATTCTCTGCTGCCTGTGCATAGAGGATGTAAAAATGCTGCCACAGGCGGGAGTGAGCAATGAATTCTGATTTGGCAGCAGGTTGTATCCACTTCGCCCGGGTGCAAAGGGTGGTGCAAGGATGCAAAGTAGTGGGAAATATGAGGAGAATCAGGCCCTGTTTTGCCACTCTTTGGACCTGATCCAAAGCCCATTGAAGTCACAGGAGGCTCTCTGTTGATTTCAATGGACATTAAATCTGTCCCTTTCTGCAAGAACCTTTTTTTTGCAGCTCATGCCATGTGAATCCACTTCCCTGTTTCTCTGTGCATTGCTGACTCTTCGTTTCAAATGTAAGTTTCTTTTCATTTTTGTCTCCTGCCTATGCCACTTTCTTTAATACTATTATTTGTATTGTGATAGCAACTATGGGCCCTGATCAGGATTTGGGGCTCCATGGCATGAGGTGCTGTACAAACACATAGCATGAGACCCAAAAAGTATATAGACGCATAGAATTTAAGGCCAGAAGGGACCACCATGATCATCTAGTCTGACCTCCTGCATGTCACAGGCCACAGAACCTCACCCACTTTCTCTTGTAATAGGCCCATAACCTCTGGCTGAGCTACTGACGTCCTCAAATCTTGTTTTAAAAACTTCAATTTACAGAGAATCCGCCATTTACTCTTGTTCAAATCAGTGAATGACCTGTGCCTCACGCTGCAGAGGAAGGCAAAATAATAATAATAATAATAATAAAAACCCAGCATCTCTGCCAATCTGACCTGGGGGGAAATTCTTTCCTGACCCCAAATATGGTGATCAGATGGACACTGAGCCTGTGAGCAGGATCCATGTGACAGATTCCTGAGAGAGAACTCTCTGTAGTAACTCAGAGCCCTCCCCATCTAGTGTTCCATCTCTAGGTGTTGGAGATATTTGCTAATAGCAGTCACGGATGTGCCATATGCCATTGTAGGCAACCTCATCATATCATCCCCCCCATAAACTTATCAAGTTCAGTCTTGAAACAAGTTAATTTTTTTGCCCCCACTATTCACCTTGGAAAGTTGACCCAGAACTTCACTCCTCTGATAGTTAGAAACCTTCCTCTAATTTCAAGCCTAAACTTGTTGATGGCCAGTTTCTATCCATTTGTTCTTGTGCCAATCTTGGCCCTTAACTTAAATAACTCTTCTCTCTCCCTGGGGTTTATCCTTCTGATGTATTTATAGACAACAATCATATCTCCCCTCTGCCTTTGTTTTGTTAGGCTAAACAAGCCAACCTCCTTGAGTTTCCTTTCAAAAGGCAGGTTCCACATTTCTGTGACCATTCAAATAGCCTTTCTCAGCTCCCTTTCCAATTTGAATTAATCTTTCTTAAACATGGGAGACCAGAACTACACACAGTATTCCAGATGAGGACTCACCAGTGCCTTGTATAATGGTAATAACACCTCCCTATATCTACTGGAAATAACTTGCTTGATGCAACCTAGGATTGCATTAGCCTTTTCATGGCTGCATCATATTGGTGGCTCATAGCCATGCTGAGGTCAACCAATACACCCAGGTCTTTCGCCTCTGTTGCTTCCAACTGATACGTTCCCCGCTCATAGCAAAAAAATCTCGTTAGTCCCTAAATACATGACTTTGGACTATTAAATTTCATCCCATTTCTATTACTCTAGTTTTCAAGGTCATCCAGATTTTCTTGTATGATATTCCGGTCCTCCTCCATATTGGCAATACCTCCCTATTTTCTGTAATCTGCAAATTTTATTAACACCCTCCCACTTTTTGTTCCAAAGTCGTTATTGAAAATGTTAAATAAGATTGGTCCTAAGACTGACTCTTGAGGAACTCCACTAGTAACCTCCCACCAGCCTGACAGTTCACCTTTCAGCATGATCCGTTGTAGTCTCCCCTTTAACCAGTTCCTTACCCACCTTTCAATTCTCATATTAATCCCCATCTTCTTCAATCAAACTAATAATTTCCATGTGGAACTGTATAAATGCTTTACTGAAATCTAGGTAGATTTGATCTACTGCATTTCCTTTGTCTAAAAGAGCAGTCATCTTCTCAAAGAAAGAGATCAGGTTGTTCTGCCGTGATCTACCTTTTGTAAAACCATGTTGCATTTTATCCAAATTACCATTTACTTCTATGCCCTTGACTATTCTCTTTCAAAATTCGTTCTAAGATGTTGCATACAGCAGAGGTCAAACTACTGCATCACCTTTTTCCCTTTCTAAAATACAGGTACTATATTTTCAATTTTCCAGTCATAGGGTACAAACCCTGAGTTAACAGATTCATTAAAAATCCTTGTGATTGGGCGAGAGACAGCGGGTAAATACAACAAATAAATGGAATGGAAGCAGAAGGTAACAATGAGCCTATTATGAACAACGTGATAATTCTTTTTCTCTCCCTCTGTTGATATTTATTTTGTAATTCCATAACTCTACTGTTTAACTTAAGCATTTTGAGGTTGTTTGTATGAAAGAGGCTCTACTTTAACCACTGGATGCTGCAGTTGGTTCCTTAGGCAAAATTCCCCTTGACCTGAATGAGAGTTTTACCAGGTGTGGGGCAGATCCTGCCATCAGGCCCTTGAGCCCATACAGCTCAGTTTGCAGGGTCAGGGGGTGAAATCTTGGTCGCAGTGAAGCCAGTGCGAGCTGTGCCATTGACGTCAATGGAACGATGATTTCACGCAGGTTGCAGCACCGTGTTTTAGCTCCGAGTGATTCTCCGGTCTTTCTCATGCACTCTTTGAATCCCCTTTGCCCCACCTTGTAAGTGTCCATCCACGGTGTCAGAGCTAGATATTATTATTCCTGCGGGAGTCTCACCTCTCTTTTCACCCTGCAGGCATGTGGCTGGATTTCCACCTGTCCTTGCGGAACGAATCAATGCCCTGCCGGTCTGAAACAAGATAAAGAAATAAATAGAGAATTCTTATCCCTAGTTGCAGATAAACTGCAACATTCACCACAAAGGATTCCTGGAATGAAACAGGCACCTCTCCATTGAAAGTGCTGATAAATCCTACGCATCCAAGGCTGGCTTAATCCAGCTCAAGCCATCAGAAAATTTCTAGGGACCCAGCAGCACTGAGAACAGCTATTTCTTGTCATGCGACAGTTCGCACATTGACAGATAATCTCCTTGGGCCAGGCTGACATAATGCTCAAGATTGAATCTTTCCCCTGTGGGTTTAGACTTGTTCCTTCCTCCGGCAAAACGTCCATTGGCTTCAGGGAGGGTTGTGCCCAAGGAAGGATGTGGCCCGGAGTCTGGTGATCATGTTCTCCTACCGGCTAACCAGGACCTCATTTTGGATCCTCGGTGTGAGAGAGACTTCCATACGTCATCTTCCGGCCGATTCGGCCATGCAAGAAGCCCCTGCAAATGAGCTATTTAATGCACTTCTCAGTGCCTTAGCATTTCATCTTGCTATGCTTAACCCACTCTGTTGTTCAGTCTGGGAACAATGCAGGGGAGGAGAGGGGGCAGGGAGAAGAAATAAGAAAATAAAAGGTCAGAGGGTGCCCAGTGTGTATGAAGGCTAAATTGCACTTTTGTGAAATCTAATAAATATTCTCTGGCAGTGGAGAAATGAACTCTTTTCTGAAATGCTAAGTGACTTACCTCCCCCTAGAGCCAGGGCATAGGATTTAAATGGGCAGATGCACATGATGTTTTCCATTTACCAGCCTTCCCCGAGCTGCCTGTGGAGGACCTAGCTAGGTCATCCATTACGTGTGTGACAGATATCGCAACCCTATGCAGTCTCCTGGAGGGCTTTGGGAGTCAATTTATATCTGACTGTGTTCTACTCCAGGGGGAGAGCTGCCACAGCTCTGTCCAGCATTAAAAAACGTGGGGGTTGGTTAAGGTGAATCACATTTGTGTTAACCCCTCCAGAATGGTATTTCCCCCAGACACACACACACACACACACCCATACTCTAGGGAAATTTGAATGTACTAGTTCAAAGTGATTTTTCCCAAATCCAGCAGTTGTAGAAGGGAAGGTTCCTGACTCTCAGTTTTATGTTCATGCCACTTAAATAATTAACCAGATCTCAGCTGGTCGAAATCAGTGTAACTCCATGGAAACCAGTTGCTGATTTACACCAGCTGAGGATCTAGTTCTAGGTTTGTAGTAGCTTGGAAATATCAGTGGTGAAAGGGTTAAACGGATTGCTGGCTTTAAAATGGATCTTTCCTCCACCAGGTACTGAGATGACAGCTCATTCAAAATTACTCCCACTGCTTCCTTTGACACCCATTCATAGCTTGGATGCAGCTGATGTGGGAGCCTGATCCAGAGCTCACTGCAGTCAATGAGAAGACTCTCAGTAATTAGGCCCTTGGTGCTCTGGATTTGGTATGTAAACCTGGCAGACGCTGTGGGGAGAGAAAACAACAACAGATAAACTCCGCATTAATCTATGGCATCAGTATTTGCTGCTACAAGCAGGAGTGTGAAGTGATGTCTGAAATCAGCAGGAGTTAAATCCCGCTATTGATTCTCTCTCCCATTCCCTGCTACGCACCAGTGAATTAACATGAATTACACCGCCGGAGTAGTCGGGAGAAATTTAACCAGTGTACTTGGAGGGGATGGGGCCAGGAGTTTGTCTGTGCATTTGAAATATTTATGCCGCAAATTAGCATGTGTTCTAAGCCCATGAATTTCAAATATTTATATAGCTTTAATATTAAGGAAAATGTATTAAAATTTCCCATAGGCGTTTTATTCATTAGTAAGGCTCAGTGCTCATTGACGACAATGCCTGCTTGGTAATGCATCCATATAACAGCCAGGAGAGTGCAGAACAAACCGGGAGTGTGATTTGTCCAATGCAGCGGTTCCCAAACTGTGGGTCGGGACTCCAGAGAGGGTTGGGACCCCGTTTTAATGAGTTGCCAGGGTTGGCGTTAGACTTGCTCAGGCCTGGGGCCAAAGCTGAAGCCCAAGCCCCACCACCTGGGGCTGAAGCCCGAGGGGCTCAGGTTACAGGCCCTCCTCTCCCCCCCCCACTCCCGGCCTGCCACTGGGTGCTGAAGCCCTTGGGCAGCAGGGCTTGGGGAGGCTCAGTCTTTGGTCCCCCTTCCTGGGGCTGTGTTAAGGTTACCATATTTCAATACTGAAAAAAGAGGACACTCCATGGGGGCCCTGGCCCTGCTCCAACTCCGCCTCTTCCCCACCCCCAGCCCCACCCCTTCCCCGCCCCCATTCCAACCCCTTCCCCAAAGTCCCTGCCCCAACTCTGCCCCCTCCTCTGAGCACCCTGCATTCCCCCTCCTCCCTCCCGCTCTGATCTTGGTTGGGGGTTGCTAAGTGCTTCCCTGCTCCCCACTCGCCCTGCAGCCCCTCCGCCCCTGCAGCCTCTGTGACCCCCCCGCCCCTGCAGCCTC